CAACTTTTGGACCCTTCTTATCGTAGTAAGAACAATTGCACTTTCGACATATATTTTCAAGATAATCATCGCTGTCATCATCATCATCTAGTTCTACAACAAGTGTCTTTCCTGAATCATCGCTACTGGTGATGGAATGAGATCGTTTCTTCTTATAACTTTTGTTTTTGGCCTTGGGTAGTACTTACTATACGTACCTGCGGTAGTACTATAGGTACTTGCGGTTGGTAGTCGGCTAAATCGTACCAGTACAATTTAACCAACTGCAAGTGGTACGATTAAACCAACTAAGGCATTTCTAAAACTAAAGCAAATATCCGGCATAAACTCAAAACTTAGACACGCAACAAAAACCCCCAATAATCTAGTATACGATTGTGGAATAATAAAAAAAAATGAATAACTATAGCTTACCTTGATTACGAGTTATCTTCTTACGAATGTACGACAATATTTATATTAAGACCTACAAAAAATGTTTTTCTTTTATTACTTGCACAGTTGTTAACTCACGTCGATTTAAATTAGTGGGTGAAGAGGGATGGTACAGGGCCACGATTTGGCGTTATCAGTGTAGAAAAAAATATTCATTAAATGGGAAATTTAGAAGTGGTACGATTTAAATGCTAGTACGATATAACCAACTCTCCCCTACTATCTACTATTAATGGAGATGTAAGTCAAGTTGGTTTATAAGCATAATAACTTCATCGTTATAAAAATATATTTTACTCAGTTCTTTATTCACATAAATAAATTGTTGTGCACCTATAACTTATGCTTTTTAGGTATTGTTCAGTAATACTTAATATGATGTCAAGTATTATGGGGGTGATCATTTGACTATATTAAGTCCTGACATTCAGTGTTGCTTCTCAGAAAAGATACTTATATTATGTATTGAAAAAAGTTTAATTGGATAACATAAGTAGTAAAATAACAATAACTAAATTTACTTTGCCTTTAGGAAGGTTTATCGAAATCTTTATTGTTTTTTTTACTCAGTATTCATAATTTTTAAATTTTCATAATTTCAAATTGACTGTGATTTTTAGATTTAGTTCCAATAATTGCTTTTACAGTTAACTAGCTCTGAAAATTATAAAAATGATCGAATAAATCGGTTTTGATAAATCTGTAACTAAACTGCATAACGAAGATTACTTAAAAACATTTTCTATGAAAGAAAAGTGACTGACTATTTGACCGGCCTCTTAATTTAAGGCTGGTAAGGGTATTTATCTTCTATATATATAAAAATGGATTGCTGTTCCTTAGTCTCACTAAAACTCGCGCACAGCTGAACCGATTTGGCTAATTTTAGTCTTGAAATACTCCTGGAAGTCCAGGGAAGGTTTAAAAGGTGAGAAAAATTGGAATGATTGCCGGGAAAACCCTAAAAACAGCCCTTTTCTATTTCCCATACAAACGTTTTTTTTTTGACATTAGATTTGACAACTAACTAATATGTCAATCATTCTGTTTGATTGAAACAGGAAAAACCTGATTATTTATGGCCTCTAAGACGGAATAGAGTTCGCCTGGTCAGCTATACCTACATATATTACTCTTGACCAAAATAACGCGAACGAAGTCGCGGGCAAAAACTAGTATTTAATAAATATTTCACTGTTATCAAACGGCTGGAAACGAAACGTTTTTAACAGTTTTAAAATATTTGGAGTAAAAAAATATTCAACTTGTAAATAATATACAGACTATAATTCTGGCAGTTACATCAGTAGTTTTGTAGAATAGTTTGCAAAGATAATTAAAAATCGTGAAATGCCAGCAGGGCCGATGCAGTGTGTTGGAACAAAAAACGGTAAAGGCGGGCACAAAAGTTTTAATTGGACCAGAAAAAATTAAACTGAATTGAGTGAAGCCAAACTGCTGCCCAAGGAAAAATATTTATTGCAGATCATTTATGATTTAGTAATGTAAAATGTGTGTTTACTAAAGCAGAAATTTAAATTCTACTAAAGACTAAATTAGGAAAGTAACTTTCAGAAAGCTTGTCTCTTTATTAGTTTTTATTTATAAATTATAAATATTCTACCGAGTTTGTTTCTTGGAAAGCAGTAAAAAATTCTAAAGACCAATAATAATATTTACCAACATAATTTATAAATGAAAATAACAAGTTTTTCCTTATTATTACTAGGCAAAGGTATAAATTCACTGTCACCTGACTTCTACAAATACAGTTTTCATTCCGTCACCTTCTTTTGCAACTTAAATGTTGTTTATTTCTATTATTATTAAGCAAATTGTCTTTTATACCTATTTGTGATTTTTCGACAACCAATTCGTGGTTCTCTCTTTGTATTTCCGACAGTAACATTTACATTTATTCTGACAATTATATTTATTATATATACCAATACAGCCACTCATTTGATTACAAAATTAAATTTGTTATAATTAATTTTATCTTTGACATAATGAAAATTGAGAAAATATAAGGAATTATTGTTAAGAATAACGAGGATTTGTATTACTATGCATCAAAAATATCTTCAAGCAAATGGAATTCGCAATCCCTACTAATATTATAAATGCGAAAGTAACTCTGTCTGTCTGTCTGTCTGTCTGTCTGTCTGCTACGCTTTCACGCCTAAACCACTGAACTGATTTTAATGAAATTCGGTACAGAGATAGAGTTGACCTTGAGAAAGAACATAGGATAGTTTTTATCCCAGACTTTTGAAAGGTTCTCTTGGAAACGCGATATAACCGAACTCCACGCGGCGAAGCTGCGGGCGGAAAGCTAGTAGAGTATAAAGCTTAGCAGAAAAACCGATAATATATTGGAAAAAACAATTTAAAAATAAATATATATTAGAAAATAATATTTTAAACAACATATTGACAAGTTCAGTGACTCGAATAAGCCCAATAAATAATATTATCCCCAAGTATTCGTTGTTTATTGATAGCTTTAGGTGGTAGAGCCTAGCTGTAGTTTAGTTACTATAGCTCGAACATGGGCTGGCTCGACCGGGGAAGTACCACCCTCTCACAGAAGATCGGCGTGAAGTAGTCAGTAATGACTGCGTTTCGTCCGATGAGTGAGAGAGCCGGTTGCCCTTTCCCTGTTCCCAACCTTTCCTTGTATTTCCTTATTCCCACCCCTCCCTTTTCCTCCACAAGTAAGGTTGGCAACGCATCCGCAACATCTATGTTGCGGATGTCCATGGGCGGCGGCCACTACTGACCATCAAGTGGGTCGTCTGCTCGCTTGCCACCTATAACATTAAAAAAAAAAAAAAAAAAAAAAAAGCTTTGATACTTAAGAAAATTATCATTTTAACTTATTTGTATAAAATTGTTTCTCAAATGAACATACTGATATTTTTATATTTTGGATAACTATAAAAGGTATTTTTTGTTATCCTGTTCCACGGTTTTATTTAATTTATGAGTTAACATTTAAACAGAAATATACTAATACTAATAATTACTTATATGTAATTATGTTATGTATTGATAATAATGTTGGTGTTATTTAAAAAGAATTAAATCACTTAATTGCATTGCCATAGTTTTATGTTGATAACAAGATACGCATGAATTTATCTCACAAGTTAAAATATTTAGATCTTAATGACATCTAACATTTTCGCGAGTACTCAATGAAATAAAACAAATATTTTTCAGATTTACTGCGCATTTATAATTATGTTTAACAATATACACGCGTGATCACGGGCAGACGAGATGAGAATTGTCATCGATCTTCTATCTTAAAAAGAAACCATGATTATCGTAATATTATTTGTGCTTATCTTAAATTATTCTGTTACATTATAAGTAATATGAAATATTACGAAATGTGCTAAAAATTTTAATAATATAACGTTATTAAAATAATCACTAATTCAATATTCTATCAAAGTAAAAACAACACTAAGGGACTCTTGAGTCGCCTGAGTTCATTTCATTTGGCAGAAATGAAGACTTTAATGAAAGCTTTTATGTACAGCAAAGAAAAATTAAAAAAATATTTAATGATAACTTTGAGTTTAATAAGGCAATACTTTGGCTTATCAATACACCGGTCCACAAAGACATCGAATTTGAAAAAGGACGTACTGAATAATGTAAATTACCTTATTTTAAAATGATATAAATGTACTCAGTGAATATCATTCTCTTTTTATTAAGTAAATTATTAGGGGGAGAAGGTGGAAAACGGCCCTCGCTGTTTATATGGCCACCCGTTGTATCTCAGTATTGGAAACCGCCATGTATGAATTAATGCACGTATCACGACGAATACATTCTACGGAAACTTTTAAGTTGGCCAAAAGCGCTACTGTGCTTGTTATTTGACATTTGTCAACGAAGTTTGTCGGTATGTTACTTCAGAAGTTTCTCGTCCCGTTAAAAATTATTAATTTGTTTGTTTAAACAGTGTTTTGTGTGGTCTATTTGTGATTACTGGGAAGGATAGCAACCTGTCTTCAATATTTCCAAGGTATTGTCATTATATTTGTGATATTTCTATATTTGTGGTTTGTTTTCGTACCAAGCGCTTTCTTCTTAATATGGCCCCCTATTATTGCTTCTTTTATGGCCCCGGGGGCCATACTAAATATATGCGAACAGACTTTTTTATTATGTGAATTTAATGTCCTAAATGTATTTTTATTATACTTCAGATGGCTCGAACGAATATTTCTCCAAAACCTAAAGAGGAAGAGGAAGCAATGGGATGCAGAAAAATTTAAAAAAAGCAATTGAAGCAGTACAAATTAAGAATATGGGGTATAAGAAGGCTGCCAAGACGTTTGTTGTACCTAGACAACGTTAAGAAGACTGGCCAAATGTACAGGAGAAGCTTTGGATTCAGTTGTGCACAAGCCATTAGGCAGAAAGTGTGTACGACCATCTCATATAGAAAACCATTTGGTCGAATATTTTTTGTTCATGGAAAGTAAACATTACGAAACAAAAGACATCAAATCGGGGAAGGAAAGCTGGAACTGCAGTTGTCATCACATCGTCGCCTTATCAAAGACAACTTGAAGAATCCATTGAAAGATTTTTAGACGCGAAACGTACACGTGGCCAAGGGCGTAGTCGAGGACGTGGTAGAGGACGCGGTAAAAATCCAACAGTTGCAACCGTAACCCAACGTTCCAGTCTACGTAATGAGGTGACTGGCCGTTCTGAAGATGAGTTACCAGACATGGGTAATGACGACGAGACGACAGACGAGTCTGAAGACGAAAATTCTGTTCGTACATATCCTGAAAATAGTGATACAACATGCATTTTTTGCTATAGCCAATTCTCTGATGATACAAGTGGTGAAATTTGGGTGATGTGCCAAAGCTGTGAACTGTGGGCTCATAATGAATGTGCTGGAGCAGAGGGCGATTACTATATTTGTGACTGTTGCCGCAAAATTTTTGTAAGATTTAGTTCATACATTTAATATGGCCCCCGGGGGGCAATTATTAGCGCACATTTTGTTTGTCTCCGTTTTTTACATTTTTCCGAAAATATGAAAAATTATGATCAATGCTATCTTTTTTTAAAATTTGTAACATAAATCCTATTAACCCCTTAGACGAAGTATGTTTTGACATAAACAGATTGTAACAATACCAATAAATAATTATTTTATACTTGAAAAACAAATTAGGGGGCCATATTCCCACCTTCTCCTCTATTAAAAACGAATTGAATAGCAACGAAATAAAATGTGTGACGGAATTATTGTATAAAAAGTAATTACAATACTTTGACCGACTAAAATTATGTTCAAAATTTAAAATCGAAATCACATATCTTACACTTTACTGTTTTAGTATGTTTTTTCTGAGAACTCCAACAAAATATAAGCGAATGGTAAAATAAAGTTTTAATTTTTAACTCATCAAAGATGTCGCTGGTGGACAAGTCATAATCATCCCTCTTAACCGTGCAATTCAATTCAATAACAACGTCATGATCTCATCTTAGGGAGATGCAAATTAGTTTTATTTCCCTCGTGTATAGGGTTGGTACTTTTTATATAAATAATTGAATATTTTAAATCACTATTTAGGTTAGATTTTTTAAACTGAACTACAATAGCTAACATTAATTGGAATGTGATTTTTACTCTAATACTGTAAACGCCTATCCTGGACATGACAAACTTGTTAAGTACTGCATTATAAATCCCATTTTAATCAAAATTTGCTATGTATGTAGAAGTAACATATTAGCTTTATAATCGACTTCGACGTATAGGGATACAAAACAAAAGTTTAATATTCTATAACCTGATACATATTTTAATAAATGAGATATTTTTTCAATTACGTATGTAGTCGCTTGGAAATTTAAATACAAAACTTCATTCATTTCAACCCCACCTCTAATGATTACGAGCTATTCATGTTGCGATCAATGATACCAAATTATGGGATGGTTTTAAAAATTATACGATAGCTGTTCAACTGTTTTATAAGTGGCACATTACGAGGCTTAATTTATCATTTACCAGCCGTAAATAATTTAAACACTGACATTTTTTTGGAATAAAGACCATTATCGGCGTGTTACCTGTCATAGTGATGAGCGATAATGCAAATGTAGATGATAAGTATAGTTGCATTTAGAAGTTTATTCATATTTAATGTTATTAATATTTTAAAAAATTGTATACAAGTTAGTATATATACAGTTTTTAATCTTATTATAAAATGTATTTTATGTTAGGTAATTTATGTCGATTATAGATATATAATGTTTCACAAATATATTTTTAATCAAATTTGTTTCAAAACTATCATAAATAAGATATATTAGTTTTATTCCTGGTGTTATAATTAAAAAAATGTAAAGTTATAAAGTAAAAGCGATATTAATTGGAATAATTTATTCAAACTACTTTAGAAGTTTAAATTATACTTAAATTCGAGATTATTATTATACTAGCTTTCTGCCCGCAGCTTTGCCCTCGTGGAGTTCGGTATATCGCGTTTCAAAGAGAATCTTTCAAAAGTCTAGGATAAAAACTACCAAATTTCATTAAAATCAGTTCAGTGATTTAGGCTTGAAAACGTAACAGACAAACAGACAGAGTTACTTTCACATTTATAATATTAGTAAGGATATTGCACATAACTTAGAAAAATATTTGCTTTTTAAAATATTTTAAAGCTTTAAAAGAATTAATCAAAATATTTTTTTATTAAAATAATTTCACCTATATATAATTTTATCAAAATCACACTCTCCTATCAAAATTAATATTAAATAGATATATAATAAATTGTGAAAGAAAATATTCTAAATCCGATTTAGCTCTAAAGAAGTGCTAATCGATAATAAACTTTATATAACATGATGATAAAGTCTCAAATTAAATTAACAGGCGTGGTTTATTCCACTGTTCTTCTTAAGATTAAAAAGCTGTCAAAAGTTCTTAAGTTTTGGTTAGTAAAGTGTCAGTTTATAAATGATGATACATTGATATGCTTTAGAGAATAGAAGTTTGTGAAAGACGTACGAGGTTTCGGAGTTTTTATACAAGACGAGTGTCAAATCTTTCAAAGATATTTATGTACATATCTAACATTTTAGAACTTAAGTTTAAGAAATCTTCTTTAAATTTGTTAGTAAGACTTTGTATAGCTTGTGTAGTCGATCAATTTGCACATACTTCCTTTAAGTTAAATATAACGGATACTTGTTTTCATTTACAGCGAATGATGGATATGAAAAGTTTGTTTACCTAAGCAGTAACTTCTTAACAAACATGACTCCAATAAATTACCAATACTCTTCTATAAGCTTATTATATGTCTGAAGTATTTTCATGTTAAATATAGCAATGATTAAATATGTGATTAGAATCGTCACTAAGCTATCAAATATCATGACTAGAGAAGTTACTCTGCAAATTCTAACTTTATCAATTTTACACTTAGCTTAAAAATACCTTTGGTTATGTCCTGCTTAAAGGTTTAAGTCACTTTTTCACTTTTTCAATTACTTTGTTATAAAAAGATATTTTTGTTTGTAGGCTATGGAACTTATTTAGGGAATGCAGCTGCACTCTTGACAAGATTACAAATCTTTTTTATAACAAATCCACAGGAGTCAGCAACAATTGGTATTTAAAGTGATATACTACAGATGTTCTTGAAGATATTTCACATCTTTGTTTCACTTATTCAAGACAAATAATATTATCAAAAACTTACTTTACTTACGACCTTCATACCGTTTGGAGATGAAAGTATCAAATTGTATAAACTCAAAGAATTTTAAATTATAATTTTCTGAACAAAAGTGAATACTTTAAATATTTCGATGACAACTAGCAAAAAGGTCAAAATTAGTTGCTTAAGATATAAAACCGACAATATAAAGGTAACAAAATTGTATTTCTATGTATATTGTATATGTTTAATAAGTGGTGGCCTTGTAAGTAAGTGGTCGCCTAGTGATTAAAGGGGCCGCCTCTCATTGCCGGGCGCGGGTTCAAACCTGGCAAGTACCAATATGGTTTTTCGGACTCATATGTACTTTCTGAGAGTATTTAGACACAACCGTCATAAGGTGAAGGAAAACATCGTGAGGAAACCTGGACTTATAGTTTCACAATTATAAGTTTGAAACAACCAACCCGTTTTGATCAAGCGTGGTGTTTAATGCTCATACCTTCTCCATGTGAGAAGGAGAACTTTGCTCAGCAGTGGGCTCTGATAGGCTGAGGATGGTGATGTATATGTTTAATAATTTAACTTCTAATGCAGGCGACTATAAATATCCTTATCAGGTGTTATTTGGTACAATATTATTTAAAACATATTGACGTACATATGTTTTTTTAAAAGATACCTTATCACTTAAAGTGTTATGGTGTCTTTAATTCCAAATAAGGAATTGGTCGAGAATTTATGAAGAATTTTTGAATGAGAAACTATACTTTATCTTGTATTACAATACACTAATTTTATTAAGCTTTGAAGAGCTAAAGCAGTGAAATTTATTAAGTGCTTAATTATTTTTCCGTTAAATACAAATATAAATTATTTAAGTTGACGCCAGCCTCACACTCCGAACGTAAAACATATAAGCTAATTTATATATAAATTTGGAGATTGTAGACGTCTTAAAATAATTTTTAACGAGCTATTAAATTCTAAGTTTATGGAGACGTTTATTCATTTCATATACGATAATTAACCATCCGCTGATTTTGGCGTCAATAAAAAAGTAATTAAATAAATTAATTATCGAGAGTTTAATTTGTTAAGACAATAAACATTACTGACAAAAGGTCATAATTGGGTTAAGTCCATTTCTTTAAGCGTCCCATAAAAATAATTATACACAATTTTCTTTTATTTTTAAAATATTTTTTGGTTTATAGTTATTATAACTTATCTTCTAATGAAATCAAGCACTTAATATTAATTTCTTAATTTAAATCGTTCCTTAATATTTTATTCAAACTTTTTCAAGGCCACTTAGGTAAATCTTAACTTCAACAATATAATTACTTAATATATGGAGAAGCAATTATTTTATCTGGAGTTACAACAACATAAAAGTTTAATCAAAAGCAATCCACGAAAATTGTAGGAGTTCACTCAGCGTTATTACAAATGTACTCAAAATAGACGATTGATATTTAATAAGATGATTATAAGTTATAAGCATAGTTTCTGAGTTATGAGCGTATTTTTTAAACTAATTTGAATATCTTAAATCTTTGAACATCACTGATATAGCGATCATGATATCTAAGATTTTAGTGTTAATATATTGATATAAAAAATAGTCTTTTTTAAGGATTTACTCCCATATTAATTTTATTATTTCAGTTGACGATTCAACTATTTTACAGTAAAGTATATAAATGTACATATAAAAGATATATATAAAAAAATAAACAAGTCATTTTTGTTAAATTTTGCTTGTTTGACTTTGTATTCCATCATTCTTTTATTTGGAAAAGAAATAACCAATTGTATCACATAACATCAACCTATAATAACAATAATCTTATAACTTATCCTATGCAAATATCTGTAATACGGGCCAAGTGGCAGATCGACGGACTGTGGCTTGTTCAGAAATAAGGTAATTAATTTTATATAATGTTTTAGTTATCTATCAAATCGAGTGATTCCTTACAATCGATACAATACTATTATTATTGATGAATGATATACATACATTATTGGATCATTTTAGTTGGATGGTTACGACAGATTACTGCATTAAATTAAATAGTATT